CACACACACACACACACACACACACACACACACACACACACACACACACACTGACCACTCTCCAGATTCATCTCAGGGTCCATCAGTTTTATGATATCTCCTCTCTTGAAGCTGAGCAGCGTGGACTCCCGCGTGATGTAGTCTCTCACCGCCACCACATGCTTGTTGCCCTGAAGATGACAAGTACAACATCTTACACATACAAGTTTCTGTGTGTATTGTTACAGGGATGCCTTTTTAAAAAATAGCTGAAAATCCATGCGCCACGGTCTCGCTAACATCGTTGCCTTTCTCACCCTGCACCAACGTACAGACCACGGACAAACACTTTCCACCTTTCTCTATCCTGGGCTAGCCTCTTGACGTTATTCCATGTCTTCCCACTTTTCTGTACATCCATTTTTGTAATTCTTCTCCAGGTTCCACGCGGTCTTCCCCTTGATCTCTTACCCTGTGGGTTCCCATCCAAAACTTTCTTTGTTATGCAGCTGCCTGACTCGGTAACATATGAATATCAATTTGAAAGCCAAAGGGTGTACGTAGAGAGAAATGACTTGCTGAGATTAGAGCAAATCTTCCGGGGGGTTTTTCTCCCCGTTATTTGAACTTATGGCAAAGTCTTCATTTTGCCGTTATTTGAACATTTGGCGCAAGTTGTTGGGTGTGTGTGGTTTTTTAGTTGCTGTTTTTTTTCCAACTATAGTTTCTATCTCGATCTCAATAACGGAATAGCGGATCAGGATCAAAAATCGGAAATACCGGAAAAAAGCGGAAAAGTGGCATCCCTGATTTTTAAGTTTTAAGCTTTTGAATTCATCAAAAAAAGAAATTTTAAACAACTGAGAAAAGTCTGTTGGCCATAACAAGATTACACACAATTTTCAAGTTGAGACGGTGAGTGAAGGAATCATAACTTTTCTTTTTCCATTTACTCCGCATTTTAACATCTGAAACATTCTTGAAAGACTCACAATAAAAAAACTGAGTCGAGGAAGCATGAGTGTCTGCTTCGTGACTAAGCTGGAAACAATCAAGCAGCATAGCTTAAGCTCTGATAGAAATCTGATCTTTGTTTTTGACTGCATTATTTTCTTTGGTAAATTTGAACGAAACAAACCTTTTCACTTTCATGACAAAATCTGTCAATCATGTCCTTGAGTTGACGGGCCTGTGGAAAAAGAAAAAAAGACATTAATTTAAAAAAAAAACAATTAAGAGTTAATCACATATATGTGCAAGAAATGATTGTCAAAAGGTGCATTTGAATTAACTCCGAATAATCTTACAATTTTGATAGAGCAGGTAGGACTTGTGAGGCATGCTGTCAAAATGAGTTACTTCTCGTAATCCACAAATGGATTTTACCCAAAAATCAAGACTAGGGTCAAATTTGTAGATTATCTATTGATGCAATATTCCTGAAGTATAACAAGCCTTTTACTATTTCATACAGTGGCTAAGTGAGTAGTGAGTTTTGACTCAAGCATTGTCAAGCAAGTGTCGGTGACACGGGGATCAGATGGGTGGTCACTGGAGTGTGTCCTTGAGCAAGACACGACAACCCTAGCTCAAATTACAGGGCGCTGCACAGTGGCGACCGACAGTGGCATCGTTTGTAAACTGTTCTGTATTTGTGTAATAGTGTGTGTTTATGTATGTATTTATGCATGAATGTACTTATGTATGTACGTATTTATAATTATGTATTTATGTATGTATGTTTGCCATTGTAAAACAAAGTGCCATTCTGGGACAAATAAAAGTGTAATTTATTTATTTATTTATTTATTTATTATTTATTAATAAATTGTAAAAACTTCACATATAAGCATTATGTATCTATTTCTAAAGGGCTCCAATCCGAGAAGTAACTCATTTAATTTTGTTAACACGTTTCACATTTGATTCCTGACCTCATTGTCTGGGTCACTCAAAATGGCCAAAGATGTCAGACAAAACTTTGTAAATCTAAAACGTGGTGCCCACTACGGTTGGATCGGGACGATCGCCTGACTCGGTTGCCTGAAACTGAAAACAAACACATTTGATTTTGAGGCGACCAAGTCTGGCAATCGGCCCGATCGGCCGATCCCGTCCACAGTGGGCACCCCGTACGAGGTAGCAGAGCGTGTTCTAAATCTGTGAACTCACCCTGGTGGTGTGGAAGATGAGGGACTTTGTCCGGAGGTTGAGCTGTATGGTGGAGCTAGTGGGCAGAACCACGTCAATCACGTCCTCAAACCTGGGGGGGAG